GGTGGCGGCTGTGGGTGGCACTGTGTCGCGGGTGCCTGGTGCCATTTCATGGGTGCCACCTCAACGGCACCGGGTGACAAAGAGCAGCCGGGTGCGGGGGGACCCCGGTCCCCAGCCTGGGGGAAGCGGGAGAGGAGGGACGCCTGGGTGCTGATGGTGGGTAATGGAGCAGGAGGGTGGGTGCTGGAGGCTGAAATCTGGGTGCTGATGATGGGTGACGGAGGCTGGGTTTGCCGGGTGCTGGATTTGGGAAGCTGGGTGCTGCGTGCAAGATGCTGGGTGCTGGAGAGTGGATCCTGAAAGCTGGGTGCTACCTGCTGGGTGCTGTTGTGCAGTGGGTGCTGGGTGCCAGATCCTGAATGCTGGGTGCTTAAAGCAGCCTAAAGCATTTGAAATTTGGGTGCTGGGTAGCAGAGTCTGGGTGCTGGGGGCAGGATCCTGGGTGCCAGATCCTGAATGCTGGGCGCTTAGAGCTGGAGGCTGGGTGCTGAAACATGGGTGCTGGGTGCTGGGGCTGGGTGCTGGAGGCAGGGTGCTGGAAGCCGTGATGCTGGGAGCCGTTTCGGAGGCTGGCTGCGTTCAGGGGTGCGCGAGGCAGCCCAACGCCAGGCAGTGTCTGACACCTACAGGCTTCGGTGCGCAGCTCGCGGGGACGGGGCTCTGCGGCTGGAGGGGCTTGGGGTGCCTGGGAGTGCCAGGGCGTGCCCCGGGCCAGGCAGTGCCAGCTGGCAGCAGGACGGGGGCCGCAGGGTTTTGGGGACACCCACCTCACCCCGTCCCCTCTCCCACAGTCCACCCAGGAATTCCACGAGGATCTGTTCCCTGACTGCGTTGGGACGCTGCCGGCCACCGGCGCCCAGGCCTGGTGGGCAGGGGACAGCCAGCAGGTCAGTGTCACCCAAGGGGGTGTCCCCGCCAGGGGCACTGCCCGGGCCTGCCACCGCCCCCTGCCCACCGCTCTGCCCGCTGGCAGGTGGGGAGGGTGAGCCTGCACCCCACGCGGAGATCCACGGCGACCTTCAGCTCCCCCGTCATCGCCTGCACCCAGCTGCAGGCAGCCGACGCCAGCTCCACCGATGCCGACGCCGACCGGAGCGTGAGCAC